AAAATCTTTTTATTTTTCATGGTTATATATCTCAATGTCAAGATGATCGATGTCAAGATGATCAATCAAAAGGTTTTTCAACATTAAAACTACATTTTCTAATAGATTTTTGAGGTGCATCCGTAGTTCTACATTATAGGGTTGCATCCTTATATAAACTTTTTCTTTTAGTTTATACTTCTTGTTATCTGCTAATGTAATTCTTGTGTTAAGTATTATTTATATTTCACTTTATACTCCAAATAAATCTGTGATATGTTTCATGTTGTGACTTATTGAAAGTTTTCGACAATAAATTGTCAAGTATCACTCTAACGACACTAGGTAAGGTCATAAATTATCGTTCGATGGTTTTAATTATCTATACAATAACTGAAAATCATAATCCTATATTATGTCATGTTTACATATTTGATTTTTTTCACTTTGTTTTTTTGAGACAAATCCGAATTATTTATGACTTTATAACTTACCTCATTTTTTTGATGATCTGTATTTTTTGACCCGATTTTTTTCTACCGACTTTTTGAAACAAAATTGATTCATGATGTTTTGACTTGCCCATATATTTGCTAACTATAAGTGGTAAAGAGAGAGGGAGGTATACGAGACGGTAGAGAGAGACTCGAGAGAGGGAGCGAGTGCGAATGACTTACGAGAGAGAGTAGAGTAGAGAAAGAAAGGGGTGTGAGAGAGAGTAAAGAGGGAGTGCGAGTCCCAATGGTGGGAGAGCACCGGTGGAATTGGGGCTTTCAAGCCCCAATTAAGCCAAACTGGTTCGATATTAAAAAGAATTGTTTGGTAAGATTATAAAAAAGTCCGATATTTACAACATTCGACTGTTATGATAGTTGCCTAAACCGAAAGGCAGTTTGATGATGGAATAACAAAAGTTTTTTATTTGAAGTGCGGCTGGAGGTTTGAAATATCAGACTTGTGAAATAACAAAAAAAAATTGTGTTAAGTATAGATAGACTTGATGTTTTAATCAACAGACTGCACAATACATAGGAAGTATAAGGTGACGTTTGAAACATCGGATCGTCCACCCTAGAAGTAGGATTTGTTTGATTTTGTGGACATGGCTAACTTTATGAAAGTAAAATAAATAAATAAAAAATAATTAATAAGCGGCTTGATGTAGGCCACATCACATCATAGGAAAAAATAAAAAAATACGTGAGGATAGGACTTCCGCATAAAATAGTGGCTTTTTTGTTTTTTTCTTCCTTAGGAAAGGGCTTTACACCTTACAACATATGAAATTGATTTCTCATAAACCTTTGGCTTGCAAGGTATGAAGCCAATTTTTCAGAAATCTCTCTTGTGGACAGAGATTTCCAATGAACCAAACGCCAAGGAAAATAGAGAACTGTGTGGGAATCTTAGAATTTTGTCCTTCAAGAGCAGGAGTGCTACGGATAATATCCTTTGATTAGGGGTAAAATCGGAATATATTTGAAAAAGCAGGAAAAAGCCCGGGAGAATTAAGTAGGCCTCAAGCAATGGGTGCATTCAGTGTTGTATGGCTTGGTACATAAGCATGGAATTCTTTCACAGCTCTTTCTGCCTTATGTAATCAAACCCTTGTTCTTATTGTCACCTCCAAAATTAGGGTAACATTCAGATACAAAATTTTTTCTCGATTACATTCAATTTGAAGGTTTCTCTTGAATTGGGTTTCTGATTTTCTTTTTTTGGTTCAAGTAATAATCAGAGTGTTTTATGTGGCAATATTAAATCATGGCCATAAAATTATGATTTTATTGGTTTTTTATGAAAGTTAGGTTTCCTATAAATTTGGTCCTAATGTGAAAAATGTGTTATGTTGAAGTATCATTTATGTTTGTATGAAATAAGGTTGTTTTTTTGCTCTAATGAGAAGTTTTCTATGTAGCAGGTTTAACAAATGGGGCAGAAGCTTGGAAGTCTATGGGGAAGAGTTCAAGGTATGCTCTAAACCAGTAGTTAATCAGGACAACTGTGTGCTATTGATGAAATGTACACTATCCTCTGATTGTTAAGGATTTTTATTCATTTATTTTTGAGCAATAAAATTGTTAAGGTGTTCCTCGCCTATTTTTCGACATATTGTCATTCATTGTGCCATAGCTGGGTTTCATATGAAATTTACTTGTGATGCATGAGCCTCTAGGTATTTATGCAATGAATTGCCTTACCGTTGAGTAATTTGGAACGGTTAGAAGGTTCTTATACACATCTTTCAAAGAATATGGCCTTATCTTCGACTTCATAGAATAAGGCTCTAATATTTAAACTTTCTGCAAATGAAACTACTATGCCATCACAGTCGCGCATTTAGTACTTGATAGAAGGTGACCAGTCATTCGTTATTTATGCATGTGTTAAACTTTATTGGGTAGCATCAAATTGTTGGAAACTGAGCAATGCTCCATCTTTAGAATGCTGAAACTGTCACATTTCTTTGTTTTCCATGTTAAATTTGCCGCTATGACCATTTCTAATTTTTTTTCGCATCATTTCTTGATATCAACATATAAACAACATATTTAATCACTAACATGCTTATATTTGCATGGACATCACGAGCAAAGCAACTCTTTGTATTGGAAGTGTTCGAAATTTGCTTTTCACATTTTCCTATAATGTAATTAAGTAATTTTGGCAGGCTAGAAGATGAGCTTTTTGTCCAATCTGTCATGTCTTTTCCATCATTTCTATCAAACCAAGCTTCATCCATATTGGATCAATTATTTATGTACTTGAAATTTGTATACTTATGACATTTTTATGTGACAGGTAAGCAGCAACTACGAATGATAACAGACAAGGTTTTTGATGAATTTGCAGCAGAACCTGATGCATTTTCATTCAACCGAAATGATCTCTATATTTCAATTCTGGTCGTCTATAAGTAAGAGCTCGTTTTCGTGATTCTATGACACACCCAATTATTCCATTTTTGTGTTAAATATCTTCTGTTTATGTTTGCATTGGAGAAATATCTTCCAAAACATGGTAAGGCTGTGTTTCCTGTTCTGATATACTCCATTTTGTTCTGTTACAGTAATATCAACAAGTATTTCCCTGGCCCTCACAAGGAACCTCCATCACGTGAGCTATTGGATGCTATGGTTGAGGTATGTCTTCCTGCCTAAGTCCTCCTAGAAGTTTTGAAAAAATATTTGAACTTCTAAAATAAATCTTAAGTTCGGTAGTTTCTTTTTAGAATCTGATTTTTGAAATTACTGTCACAAGTTATGAGTGCATGGTCAAATTTTATTTGCTTAATTTACAAGTAGTTTCTTTATTTGGACTGTGCAAAAAATACCAGACGTCTCAAGTAGTTGGTAGGCCTCTATAAGAAGAAAACCAACTGAATTCACCATACAACACAAAGGGCCCCTTTATGTCTCTAGATACGGCTGGGGGCTTCCTTTATCAGGATCTCCATAGGTAGGAGGGCCTAACAAAGCTGGGTTTGACTCAAGAGATCTCTCACCCACAATTGCCATGATCGCTAAATATTACAATGCCCAAAGTCTGGGATTTTTACAGTGCAGGTATTAGATAATTCATAATTTTTAGTGTTTCTTTCCCTTATTTTCCTCTTATGTCAAAATGGGTTGTTCCTTTTTTCCCCTCCCCCTTACTCACTTGGTTTTTTACTGGCATTTTATATCAGAAGAGGCAAAAAGAGGTGCCCATTACTTGAAATGTTGCATGGTTGAGTTGTCTATTAAGTGGATGCCTTAGAGCACTGACTTATGGCAATCCACAAACTATTATAAACCTTAGCTCTAATTACACACCCAGCTATAGGCGCCATGTTTGAGCACTGCCATATCCCTAAGATTGTGTTTGTCGACTGCCATATCACTAAGATTGTGTTTATCGAAATACTGACGGAAGAGAAAAAGTAGGCATGCACCATTTGACTACTTTGGGGATGACAATTAATGCTTTGAGATTTACTTCAAATAAAATATATAGGAAACATTTAGCCATGCTTTATATGCCACGTTCTCCATGTAACAAACTTCTGTTCCTCTCTCTCGACTCGTTTGATTTGTATCAACATGAATTCCTATTTTGTTGCTAGAATTTTAACTTGCTCTCCCTAATTCTGCCTGGGCCTTCTTCTAAGGACTATATAAATGCATGAAGCAATCTCTCTCACTTTTGTTTAGAACCCAGGCTTGGGCTCTGACTGACCATGGTCCCAATGTCAAGCCAGAGGGCTGATTTGGCCGATTCAGACCGCCCAACTCCACCTATTCTCAATTGAAAAATGGGAAGAGTTTATTTAAAGTTGCAACCTTAAAATGTAGAAAAAATGCACATCTTAAAAATCTATCAAAAACTGTTGATCTTTGTGACCTCGAGATGTACAGATGTAAGGAAAAAAAGAGATTCTAAAATACAAAAAAATAGTGCATCTTGTAATACATTAGCTAGACTGTCCATTCGCAAGATTTCTATGTATTTCTAGATCTTGATCTGTACCATTTTGTGAGTTTTAAATTTTATAATTAGATGTGAACTAATTTTTCAGATCATCATTTAAATTTCCGACACCAAAATTGCATCTTTCAATGAGCTTTTGGTGTTGCGCCTTAATTGAATTGTTTAAGGTTGAAACCTTGTACAGCCTTAATTGGATTGTTTAAGGTTGAAACCTTGTACAAACCACACCCTTGAAAAATATATAAGCTTCTAGGCTCGGGTCTGACTTCTCCCTGTTTTTAGGGTTAGTCATCTAGACCCAGCACCCAGAGTGAGTTGGGCAAGTCTGGGCCTGAGTTGGTGAATTATGATAATAACTGAAAGGAATCCACATCATGCCAACAATTTGTAGTAATTGCCTTTTGCACATGGAACTCATTTGTCATTGTCCACTCCTCTCTCTAACTAAGCACTTTAAAAGTCTTAACTATCCTGTGGCCATTTTTGCAGCGATTTCATTTGGGTCGAGACAGAGCCATCAATCGAGACGAGTTCTACGAATTGGTTCGACAATGTGTCGCTAAAGATTTGTTTTGGTTCGTTGCGAGCAAATTCATCCTTGCTCTTTGTGCTGCCCCTGCTGCAGCTTGCGGGACTAAGAGAGTAGCAACTCGAGTTCCTCGAGTGGGTAAGGCAGTGGAGAAGATCCCGACTTCGGTTCTTGCCTCTTTCTTCACTGTCGGCTTCATTCTTCTCCAAGATGCCCCAGTTTCGATCGAATGAGTTACACCTAATTATTCGAGATAGAGAGCTTTAATGCATTCTTTGGAGAGAGAGAGAGAGAGAGAGAGAGAGAGAGAGAGAGT